TTCGCGGCGGCCCCGTGCGACCGGCGCTGAGCGCGACCCACGGCCAAAACACGCAGCGAGGAACGACAGCGCCCCGAAGTCTTGGAGTAGTATGTGGTGAGAGCGCTGTTTCACTGTGTTTCAAGTAACACTGTGTAATCACTCTTAGGCATATGTAAAGCACGTATAAGAACCTCTAAGGTTTTTTCAGAACGTGGTTACTATAGACAAAATAGCTAGGGTATTTCACACAGCTCGGTTTGAGCAAAGTACATTAAGACCACTTAAGTAATTTATTCACTTTCACAACTATTGTAGTTTATTCGGGAACGAATGATAAGGACTTCAATTGAAATTATTAGATTATTAGCTATTTATACATTTAGATTATCCACCATCTACCTCGACTATAGCATCTGTATCTTCTAGGTAAATCTCTTATTTTTGCTCCATTGAACTGTTGCTGGTACTGGTCTTCTCAATTCAATCCTTGAGCCTTCTATGCAGCAGGAGCTGCACTTCCTTCCACCTTATTATTTTCCTAGAACACAATAAAAAAGAGATAACCTATCCTTCATTCCTGTTCTGTGGTTCTTGGTTCTTAATAGCTCACACCTAGAAAGCTTCAAATTTTCTTTGCATCTGCAAAGAAGACCTACATACTTCATTTTCTCAGAAATGAAAGAGAAAACATCTTGAAATATTCAGGTTTTCTTGGTTCTGCCTTCCTTTTAAGAAAAAAAATAAAGTCCTAATCTTTTCTATGCAATGGGTGAGCACTTAGACTTTCTGGTGGTCTACAATGACCATTTTCATCCTTTGACATCCTCTGGCTTTCATGTTTCAGACTAAAAATAAGTATTTTAAAGATATCATTAAACAAATCATCAAGATGAAAATTGTATTACATAAAGATGCACACAATTTAAGTAAGTTGCACATATCTTTATGTGCACTTTATGTGCACTTTGCTTATTCATAGCAAAGTTTGCTGTAGCAAGATACTTTATTACTTATGGTATAAAAATGTGTATTAACTGTTAATAATGCCATATGTCACTTCAGTGAAACTTTTCTTTTTGGCAGTGGTAGTGATACATGTATTGCAACTGACGTTTTAGGGTGAGTGGTTTTAGTTGCCTTTTTTTAATAACTGAATCACATAAAATCTGTTTTGTTTCTTCAGCTGACATCTGAAATGTTTGAGGCTGATCTTGAGAAAGCATTGCTGCTAAGCAAACTGGAATATGAAGAGCACAAACAGGTATTGGCAATATTCATCCTAATGTAAAAGCTGTGTAAGTTTGAGGCTTGGATTTAAAAAAATAAAGCAAACAACCTTCTAAAAGTACCATTAACATAAATTGTTTGCTTACACTGTTCAGATGTTTAAGAGTTAAGAGAAATACTGGATTTGAAAAAAACCATATATAATAGTATTGGCTGATTGTTGGTTTGTTGTTTTTGGTTTTTTTTAAATTGTCCTGTAAAGGTAGAAAGTTTTACTTTTCCAATCTTCTGGCATATAAATGCGGTGAAATTTTTTAAGAGTACAACAAGAGACCCCGACCTTCCTCAGAAAAAATTCGTCACGCTTGAAGAATAAGAGAATCAAAGCACTGGCTTCTCCTTAGGCCTTAAAGCATTAGTTACAGTTGAATCATCTGCATTTTTACTAACATTTTACCTGTTATTCACAATAAATCAGGAGCTAATGAAATGTTATGAAAATATGTACATTTTAATACAGTTATACATCATAAAGAAATAAAAATGGCACTTTTGTGCAAATATCTCTGTATAACACTTCAGTTTTTTGAGGGGGACAGTACCATAGTTCTTGAAAACCAAGGATAATTTTTTAACTTGCATACTAAAGTTCTTTATTAAAGACAATTTTCAGGCATAGCAGCATAGCATCATTTGTAGACTTTTTGAGAACTGACTCCAAATAGTTTAAAATATATACTATACAAAATGTATAGTACATGAATATGCTGAACAAATCTTGTTTCTGTGGGAAGAAAAGTACTCCATTTCTATCTTTGCTTTCTTCAATTTTTTCAAGATTATTTGACATTTAATGTTATTTTAATCAGTTAAAATAATTAATTGGTGCTTAAGATTATTTTTAACAACTGGAACATTAATAAATTGATAAGAATTTTTATGTACATATGTGGGGAGGTGTGACTATGGTTCAAACGGGTGATTTCAATAGGAGTAAGGTCAAATGGTAGAGCATTACTGCACACTAATAGCACTCTGACTTATACTGAATGAATAAGCATATTTTGAGAATAAAAAGAAGGTAAAAAGAAAGTACTAACCTTCATTGTGTAGCATTCTGCTTTCCTGCATTTGGCTACTGTGTATTCTCAGTTTATGAGTTTTTGGATAAAACAATGTATGTGATTGAGGAAGTACTAGGCTGATAGTTCATTTGCTATTAGTGAAGAGTGATGCTCTACTTCAGAGAACAGAATTGATGCTTAATTGCTGATATGTCTTGCACTCTTTAAACCAATCTGAAGCCTTCAAATTACTGTTAAGGCTAAAATCTCCTTTAGTACATGATCACTATTTTTTTCCATCGTAAAGCTTCAGGAAAAAATATTTGGGTATTGAAGAAAATTATACCAGTGGGACTTTATTCTTCTAGGAATATGAAACCGTTGAAAGTACTTCACCTCACTCAAAGTCTGTGAATAAGAAAAAGAACCAGCAAGGAAAAGACAAACCTCTCACTGTGTCTCTGAAAGACTTTCAGTCAGACAGTAATATAGGTATGCCTTATCATACCATATGAGCTGTTCTACTTGGAATTTTCATAGTGTGTGTGCTAACAGCAAAATGCCCTTCTGTCTCTGTTCATTAATTTTGTGTTTAAATAAACACTAAATGAATTTCAGTTAGTGCATCCTACTGAGTCTAAAAGCTAAGTGTTCATTATATAATATTGGGCTAGTTAAATTAGCAGGAAGAAAAGGAAAGGTAAAGGAAAGCATAATTTCACATGTTATCCCCAGGGTGGGTGGTGGACTGAAACACTCTTAATGTGACCTTTTTTTTTTTTTTAATCTAAGTGGGGTTTTTTTACTAAATTTGCATTCCTCAGGCAACCAAGTTTCTCTGTTTCCTGGGTAATAGCAAGTCATTGTTTGCTTTTCTTCATGATACTGGATTTTATTAAGAAGAGTAAATCTTGAAATAAATTATATCCACTCATATGCATTATTTATAGGTTGAAAATTAGTATGTGTCTATAGAGCAGAAATTCTGAATTTTAGTGAAGAAATCAAGGTAGATTCTAGAAAAGGAAGAAAGCAATTTGTTTTCTAATAAATTTCTAACTTCTTTTAAGGATGTTTTTATCTGAATCTACAATATTTATTAAACACGTTATTTCAAATAATCTGAATAGAGGAAAATGCTCATAGGCATGGAAGGCATTCAGGTATACAGTGAGATACATGCTATAGAAGTCTAAATACGCTTAAAAAGAAACAAACCAGCGAATTTCTCAAGTGTCTGTACCAAAGACATGCCTTCCACTTTAACTGAAGCAAACAAATAGGGGATACTACTTTTGATTAAATAGTCTGAAAGATCTGGGAGAAGATGCAAACACAGAGATTGATGTAAGACATAGTTTATAACCTTGGCTTCGAATGCTTTAGTAATGATTTTTTTAATGTTGACTTTGATAGGAGAGTTGATGTTGAAGAACTCCAGTAGATGGGCTTTTACCCCCAGCTTTTCAAAATGTTTCAATAGCTAGCTGTACAAGAGTTGATTAACTTACTGTTGTCATTTTTTTCTGTTCTTTTCAGATAACCTTGCTAAAAAACATGAGGTAAGTCTTAGCCAAATGAGTAATAAAAAAAAAACAACAAACCACACAACAAAAAACCCCTCTTACATTTAGTAGGTGATTATTTTGGCACTTTCTGTAGTGACAATCAGTTATACATTCTGAAACTGACCAATTGGCATTTGGAAAATTTTTATAAATGCAGATTTAATAGAGATATATGTCTTCGGTTCTTGTACCTTGAGAACTGAGTATTGGCTTTCTTAGAACTACCTCTTGCTTCTTTAGTTTTCAGATAGTCTTTGATGCAAGTTGCAGATTTAAAAGCATGTTAAAAAATACAAATTGTAGTACAAAAAATAGAAGCAATTTAGATAGAGTACTGTAATGCTACTATGTTGTGGTACAGTCCACAAATATTAAAACTCTTGGAAGAATAGTTAACAGTGAAACAAAACATAAATCAGTGTAGTCATAGTGCAAAATTATTAAATTCCAACTTCATGCTTTTGTGTAATCTCATAATTGGCTAAATGTTAACTGTTAATTAATTTCTAGGCTCCTCAACTGGTATCATGCTCTCTAGGTGGATGTCACAGTATTCCCAGGATGTAAAACATAAAACAATATCTGGATACAATGCTTTTCCATGACTGAAACTATTTTTTAAACATGTTGATTTCTAGCTCAATATTAACTTATATGTAAAGGAAGATATGTTATAGTACTTACTTTTAACAGGAGCTGAACTCCTCCCAGTCTTCATTGCATGATGGAGGATTTTTCAACAGGCTGGAAGATGATGTTCACAGAATACTTGAAAGAGAGAAAAGGAGAGTCCAGCTCACTGATTACAGTGAAACAGATAACTGCACATCTCATGAACAGAACCAGGCATGTAAAACAGCAGTCACTCTGAAGTGAAGAAGCTTGCCTAATGAAGCTTATTCAGTGATAAGAAAGGAGCACCTGAGTAGAAGAAATCACAGATCAAAAGCATGATAATCTTAAAGAATTGAAAAACCCACAACATTGTAATATTTTTATTTATCTGAAGAGGTATTTAAGTAACGTAATTTTTTTAACATGAAACACTTGTGATTGAATTAATTTTTGCTACTCAGAAAATGCCAACATTTATTACTGCATTTCTTATCCTTTTGGTATCTATTCACATATACCTCTTTAGTTTTGATCAGAAATTCTCTTAACAAATAAGTTGCCTTTCCCAAGAGTCAAATTCACATGACTAAATTGTTAAGAAGTGATCTTTCCTTGCTTATAGGAGAGTGTTTTGAAAGATGGAAAAACAGAACGACTAAAGCTCGAGCTTGAGAAGAAAGATGCAGAAATTGAGCAACTGAAAAATATAATAACTCAGTGGGAGGTATGTAGCTGATACTACCTTGAAATAGTAGACAAAATTTAACATTATTATAAATTTGAAACATAATAGTTATTAAAATGTGACTGATCTGCAGAGATGCTTTAGACTGGCCACAGATTATGTATTTACAGAGCAGATTATTCCTTTAGTACCACATGAAGCAGTCTTTCTTGGTAAGTTAAGCATCTAAAAGTAATCAAAGGAATCAAGACAAAGCATCCACAAATAAACTTCATATCTGACATATCAGTCACTAATTGTTTTCTAGTATTGCTATTTTCGTGGTCAAAAAAATAAAGATGTAATCTAAGACTAGGCAAGATCTTGAGCAATCTGATCTGCCTTGGAAATTAGTTCTGCTTTGAGCAGGAAGAAAATGGACTTTTTGGGGTCTTTTCCAATTGTTTTTAAAATTCTACTCAGCTTTTCTTGCATTTAAGAACTACATATTATTGGGATTTTTTTGTAGATTCAGTCCAATATTTGAAGTAGTTGAAGAAATAAATGAATATTTTATCAGGTTTAAGAGAAGTTCCTTTGAAGCTGCAGTGGAACAAGAATAGAATCATGTATTTTGTTATACTTTTTCCTGCAAGTGTAATTGGAAATCAGATTCATCATGTGCTAAAACACACCAGGAAAAAAAATTTGCTTAATAATTACACAGTATTGCTATACACCAGAGTAGCTAGGGAAAATATCTCTGTTTCCCTATTTCCAGCATAGCCTGATTCGTCTGGATAGTATCTAGATCAAAAAGGACAGCATTTACATGGGGAACTGGCATTGTAACAAAGTACAGTAAAGTAACATAGAATTATTTTAAACTATTTTATTACTGTTTTTATTCATTGTTTAAGGTAGACTGAGCAGGTTGACAGATTGGGAGTTTTCCAATGCTTCAAAGAAGTACTTGTAGCAATAAAGACATGAACTTTGTTAACAGCAGTTTTCACTGTACTGAAGTTGGAATGCTCATGTGGAATTTTAAAGTATAAACCCATTCATATTTACCATTATCAGCACTTGATCACATTTAATAGAATAAATACAATGTAGAAGGATACTGGTGAGGTGGTCGATGATGATACAGCTGTTTAATTTTATGAACTTGTCCAGAGACCCTAATACAGTTTTAAGTGGCCATGAAAGGTCTGGCTTAAATGTAAGTTAATTATTCTCAAGGACTGGTGTGATACACAGAGTGGAAGATAGTATCTTCTTCATTACAAAAAAAGTAAGTCTGGAATTAAACTTCTTGAGAGAGCTTGCAAGAGCAAACTGTATGAAGAGACTTGTGATAGAAAAGTAAGTTTACAGCTAAGATAAATTACTAGAACTGGCATAGGTGGCCAGTTAAGGAAAAGGCTGACTTAAGAATGTTGTGGTGGTATCAGATAGATTGGAAAAAACAGCAAAACTAGGTTCCTGAGTAGTAAACTGTAGGGAATTGAAAAGAAGAGAAGCTGTAACGTGATAACAATTTATGCTGAGTAACATAATCTGTAGAGCAGTGGGGTCTTGTCCTCTTATCAAGTAGTACGGCAAACTATTTATATTATTTTTGGTATCTAAAAAGTGTATTGTAATTTTTTCAGGGGAGAAACCACAAAGCCCTTGTTGCAAAAGGCCTGTGTACTGCAGGCAGACCTGAACAGCTGTTCCTGCACTCACAATACACTGACCTAACTTTCTTATTTTCACTTGCTCTAAGCTTTGTGCTTGCCTTTTTTTTTTTTCTTTTTTTTTCTCAACTTCGTTATTAATCTGCTTCTCCTGTTGTGTATTCCTTGCTTTAGCTTTGCATTAATTAAGACATAGGTGATCATAATGGCCTTTTCCAGTCCAAATGATTCTGTGATTCTGTGGTTCTATGATTAGATTCTCTGCAGAAGTCATAATTTTAAACTTGAAGTCTGACTCTGTCATGCTTAGTTTATACTTTTATTTTTTTTAGTAGGGTATACATATAATAATTGAATCTCTTTAATACAGGCAAAGTATAAAGAAGTAAAAGCAAGAAATGCACAGCTTCTGAAGATGATACGAGAAGGTGAAAGTAAGAGTTTTATCAGGAAACTAAAGTGTTCATTTTAAAACATGGAAGGAACTTTCAAAGCATGTTTTTAAAAATAACTTGTCTCAATGACAACTATAAAGAACTAAGAAGCTATTATGCAGTGACTCCAGTGAACTACAGCATTTGGTGGACCACACAGTACTGCATTTCTGCTGTTATATAATGCAATCATCAGATGCATGTTGAGATCATTCTTCGAAATATAAACTGTTCAGTTACATTTTAGGTACAATGATTCTTCAAGTTAGGCTCTTTTGCTGGTGACAGCTATTTGTTCTGGACTGGTATCTATAATATCTATTCAGACACACTTAAGGAAACTTCAGTTCTTGCAACTTTGCAAGCTGTGCTTTGAAATGTTGGAAACATCGTTCCACAGCTAAGCAAATCTTTTGTCACACAATGAATAGGGATAGCTAAACTACAGGATTATATATGCAGATGTGTGATAATTTTCTTCTATAACAACACTATTCAGAGTTTATGATTTGGAGTTCATTGTCAAAGTTGGGGAAAAATAATTTATATATATATATATATATATACAATATAAAGATACTAGGATATTTACATATATATTTCTTATGCATAGTTATCCTTTAATATTCCTAATCTTGCCTGATGAAGTGGTTTGAGTCTGTGATGCTAGCCACACTAAATTTGTTTAAAAAATTGCCTTTGCTTTTCAATCTCCTAATTTAGCTCTTGAATGTAGTTTCTTCTCAGGGCTAAATTTTCAGCTAAAAAAAGCTGTTTTTTTCTTGAAAGTTTGTTTACAAAAACTGTGTATAAACTAGTTCAAGTGTTCCTAACGTGATTGATCATTGCAAATTTCAGCTTGGAAATTTACTGCTTCAGGTTGGTGTCTGAGCTGAGATGATACATTTTCATCTTGAAAGCAAAGAAGTAAAATTCTTAAATATTTTTGTTTGTGGAATAGTAACATACTATAAAACAAGCAATTTTGTGTTTTTCTGCAGACTGAGTATTCTGTATTTTGGTGAGAAGAAAGTTCATGGCAGAATTGAGCCTTGGAAATAACTCCATTTCTTCAGACTAAGAATTTTAAGTTATCCACAGATATTTCAGAGAAACTAGCTAAATAATTTAAACATCTCCATATTTGAGTAAATATAAGTTTCCACAGTTATGACTGAGCTCATATGTGAAACTTAGGATCCCAAAAACTCAATTCATCATCAATATTCAGTTTTCTAATGGCCGTTGTTCACCATAGATAATTCTCAAATCCATGCTGCTTACAGAGTTAAGTGTGGGGTAAGTAGTGCAAGGTTGGGGCTTAATCTCCAGAACTTTTAAAGCACTACTAATAGCACTGGTAGCTAATGGTCGATTTTGATTTACAACATCTACCTTTGGAGATGGCATTATTTAGAGGTAACAAAATAGTGAAATAAAGTGATCTCACAGTGCTATTGTAGATGAAGACCTGTAAATCTGGAAAGATCCTCATGTGTATTTTTCTTTCTCTGTAGTGAAAGACAAAGCAGAAATACTCCTACAGGTTGATGAATCTCAAATTATCAAAAATGAATTGACTGTACAGGTAAGCAAGGATTTCTAAATGTACAGTTTCATGGGTATTTCAAAGATGATATTTATTTAAGGCAGTGATAGAGGCAGGGGATGGAGGAAACAGAAACAAAAACTTGTTAGAAGCAAAAAATGTTACATTCATCCTTAGCCATGCACTGTGTGTGTCAGAGGACATGTATTACATAAACCTCCAGTATGATTCAAAACTCTTTCTGGAAAGACAGTAGACCTCAGCATGCCTGAAATGATTCTGCCCTGAACAGCACTTTAGGAATATCGTTCTGTGGTAACCCAAGCTACAAAGCCCAGAAGGGTGCTTCAGAAGATGCTTCTTTCCTGGGTGGTGTGTTGTGGTTTTTTGTTTGGTTGGTTGGGGTTTTTTTGGGGGGGTATTTATTTATTTATTTATTTCTAGTCTCAAGTTTATGAACACAAGTGAGCTACAGATTGCTTAAGACATGTCAGTTGGCAAATCACTGTACTAGCAAGCATACAAGACTTTTGGCTAGTTTCTGGTCTGCAGCGACTATTAGTTTTAAGCCCTTGACTTGTCCAAATGTCTTACATATAACGGTACTATTTTTTGAGGGTGATGCAATAAGCTTATCTGTGTTGCGTAATACTACATCAGTGAAATGTTTTATGCAATGAACCAGTCCAGAGTCCAAAAGTCGAAAGAGTTTCTAATTTCATAGCTTTTCTATATCATTATACAGGTAAACTAGTAAATGTTGCTTGGGAAATAAGTCATTAAAGAATATTTTACTTGTACTTTCAGTTCATGCACAGTGATAGTGGTAGTCACTCTTGAACTCAGCATGTATTTATTACCTGTTTGTCCCACACAGTACAAATGGAGAGCAACACTGACTTGACTTCATAAACTCACAGATGTTAAGGATACTTTATAAATTCATATTCTGTATGTTTTTAGGTAACTATACTTCATGCAGCCTTAGAGCAAGAAAGATCCAAAGTGAAACTACTTCAGGCAGAATTAACAAAATATCAGGTAGTTATTTTCTGTGTTTGTAAGTTTACTTGTTTTTGATGTAGCTGAGACAACTATGATGAGGTAATGTGCTCTGAACTGACCAATTAGCTCTAATCCTTCCAGTTGAAAAAAAAAAAAAAAGAAAAAAAGAGGCAGTTCATATTGTAGGGAAAAAAATCAGTAGCAAAACTAAAGCACAGTTTGGGCAAGTTGAAGTGTACCACCTGTTTGGTACTTCAGAAATTCTTGAAGTATTCTAGTCAATAAGCATTCTTCAGGCAAAAGTTGGTTTCACTAACTGTGTGTAACTGGACTAACTGCAGCCTTCATGGCTTTTTTTGCCACATTCTTTCTTTGGTTCTGTATCTTAGTTTTGTCTCTAGCCGAATTTTTGTAGTAGATTCACAACAAGTTGTGTCAAAATATGAGTGATAAGCTCAGTGTCTTGCTGACTGTATATGCTGATTTGTTCAACTTGGCTACTAATGCAACTCAGTGAATTTCAGTTAACTTTTGCATAAATATTAACATTATTTTTGAAGAGTCACAGTATTTGAAAATAAGGATTTGTATGTGTGCATGACTTGACACATTTTGAGTTCTTTTTTTGTTTGGTTTTGGTAGGGTTTTTGTTTTGTTTTGACTGTGACCTTTTGCACATGTTACAAGGAGAGCCTTTAGTATATTATGAAAACTTTTAAGGCAGATGTGTAGTTTTTGACAAGCTATCCTATTTCAAGTTGCAACGTTGTGTTGGAATACTGTAGTTTTGTGAAAACTGGCTCATTAAGCCATAATTACTCTTTCTGAAGCTACAGTTCGTTACTGACTACATTAAATTCTTTGGCTAGCATTACATGGAGTTCTCCATGTAATCTTTTGCCTCTTTCTGTTGTCTTTTTTCCCTTGTCACTTTACCTCAAGAGAGCAAGTTCCCTCTTAAAATTATCTTGCAGCAGTTGACAAATATATGCTTGTTCAGTCCCTTACAGAGAGGCTGAGTGCTCATACCAGTAACTGAAACTAAAGTAAATCTCTTGTCAAATTCGGTCATTCACATCACTGTTCTGACTTACAACTTCAGTCTTTCTGTTTTCCACTCCCATCCACGCCTTTGCTATTGTGAAGAAAATCTCTGTAAATAGAAAATTTTGAATAAGATAGATTTATCTTGTGGTTAATTGTAATAAACAGGTTTAAAAGAGTAACTACAAAATTTACAGAAAACGGTCTTTGTTTTACTGCAAAATCACCTATTCTGTTGGGTTTTTTTCTCCTTGCCCTCCCAGTCTAATATGTTTCTATCTTTTTAGATCCTGCTGTATTTCTTGATTAATTTATCACCCTGGGCTTTTTGTTTGGCTGATTATTTTGGTTTTTTTTTTTAACCTTGTGTCTGGTGCTTTAGGAAAACAGTCTCATCTGCCTTGCAGAGATTATTGTTTCTGCGTTTATTCTCTCCTGTAAGCTTGTAGGCTGACCAAGACAACCCTTCTTGTATTATTACTTTTTGTGGTGCTGTCTTTGATAATATGAGGCCCACCTTTTTATAGAATACTGCTTTGAAACATAGCATGCCTTTCAAAACAAAGTAACCCAAATCTGTGGATTGAAAACAAAAAACCAAACAAAAAATCAGTCAAACCAGGGTGGTTTTATACCTAGATGTTAACAACTCAGTTATGTATTTTATAAGTGCCTTGACTGTTTTAATTTATATAGCAGTATTTTGTGTTCAGACAAGTTTGCATCCCATAATAGTTGTATAATTTTTTAAAAGTATGCAACTTAACTCCTGAGTTTTTTTCTTGTTAATTTATACTACTTAAATACACAAAATAATTGCAGATATAAAGTGACATGTTTAGTATATTAACTAAACATTTGTTTTGATTCTTTCTTACAGAAGGGGAAAAAAGAGAAAAGGCACTCAGAATCTGACCAGTGCAGGTGATCTCCTCTGCCACCAGATTCAAAGCAAAAAAAGATCCAAATCTTTCTTCAGGGTTTTGCAGAAATTTATATTTGTTTCACAACTGCTCAACTATGCAGTTTTTGAAGAGAAATTAACAATTACTAGTTTAACAGCCTGAATAACTAATTTGTTGCACTTTCAGCTACAGAAAAATCACAAATCTAGTATTGCAGGAGAGTTGAAACTTAACTGTAATGTCATTAGTTTTTCATCATTCAATAAAATTTACTCTTCCATTTCTATGTTTGAATTCTTTCATAGAATTTCTCAGTTAAGAAGACATCACTTAATGACCATCAGGATCCAAATTTATTAGTATGCAAATGGTCAAAGTTTTACCAAGTCAAAACTGAAAATGAGACAGCTCATGCAGAAGCATCTTGCTCTTGTTCAATCCAGGTCTTGTTTTAAAAAAAAAAAAGAGGCCACAGTCATTTCCTCTCCTTGTATAGGACATCCTGAGGTTCAACAAGGCCAAGTGTAAGGTCCTGCAACTGGGTCAAGGCAATCCCTGGTATCGGTACAGACTGGGGGATGAAGGGAGTGAGAGCAGCCCTGTGGAGAAGGACTTGAGGGTGGCTGCTGGTGGATGAAAAGCTGGACATGAGCCAGCAATGGGCACTCACAGCCCAGAAAGCCAGCCTTATTGTGGGCTGCATCAAAAGAAGTGGCCAGCAGGTTGAAGGAGCTGATTCTGCCCCTCTGCTCTGCTGAGATCCCACCAGCAGTACTGTGTCCATCTGGGGACCTGTTGGAACAGGTCCAGAGGAGGGCCCCAAAAATGATCAGAGGAATGAAGCACCTCTCTGTTGCATTTAAGGTGATGGACTGATTTGGTAAGAGATGAATCCCCTTGCGTTCCAGCCAGTCCTCAGAAACTAGAGGGGCCAGGGGTGGCTGGACTTACCTCTTAACAAGTATGC